GTTACAAAACGTGTCAAAGTTATGCAACGAGTGAGTTTATTTTGGTTTTGGCATCAAAAGATTAGCATTGCGCATAAATTTCTTGGTTGCCTTTGTGAACGCAATTACAGGTTCAAAACTGAAAACTTTTCGGAGATAAAATATTGTGTTTCTCTTTTGCATCTTTAAACGGGCAGATCGTTAGAAGTTAGTGATCACTGCTAATAATAGACATTTTCATTTGCTTATAGACGGTCTCATTCGTGCCGGAAATTTATTTATGCCTCTGAATTGATTTTTTAAATTCAAGATTGCATCAGAATTGAATAATTTTGTTAAATATTTTTACGTGAAAACTCCTCTTAGATAACAGTGATGAACAATATCTTGTTTCACTGTTCGTACATTCATTTGATTGGACTGAATAGGTCATGTCTGTTTCATTACTGTTTCATCTGCAGGCTTTAAAAATTATAAAATTAGAAATCAGAGTATGAGCGGCGCAGGTAAGAACTTTTTTATAAGTCTCTGCAGGCTGGCCTCAAGAATGATGATGCAGGCTGGCCTTAACACGTTGGCCGCGATTGCTGATTTGGCCCGAATGCCGTACGGGCGATAGGTTCAAACTTGTATATCTTCAGTTACCCGGCAGATAGCAAGGAGAAAAGTTGTGTGCAGCTCTGCAGGGCTATGTTCTGTCATTGTGTCATTTAAGGAGAAGGGAAGTTGAATAAGTTTATCATTTTTTTTTCATTTTTTTTATTTTTATTATTTTTTTAAATAATCAATGAAAATGATTGAATGATTAATGTATATATATTTATATATAAATGATATTTATGATATTTTGATATTTTGATGATATTTTAATGATATTTTTCAATGATATTTTACTGATTAAAATAATCATTAAAATATCATTGAAATAGGATTGCAATTGCAACAATTATGTGGCGACACGATTATTCTCGCAGTGAAGAACAAACTGATGAAGTACGAGAGTGTAAAGTCTGAGTTTGGCAGCAGCCTAATTCTTTATCAGGATACTGTCTAAAAGTCGAGATTAGGTCAAACTATTTCGAAAGAAATTTGCGTATAAAATGCAATGCATTAATTACAAAACGTGTCAAAGTTCTGCAATGAGTGAGTTTATTTTAAATTCTGGCATCAAAAAATTAGCATTACGCATTATTTTCTTGGTTGAAATTGTGAATGCGGTTACAGGTACATAACTTTAAACTTTTCGGAGATAAAACATAGTGTTTCTCTTTGGCATCTTCAGAGGGGTCGATCGTTAGAAGTTAGTGGTCACTGCTAATAATAGGCATTTTTATTTGCTTAAAGACGGTCTCATTCGCGCCGGAAATTTATTTATGCTTCCGAAGACATTTTTTAAAATCAAGATTGCATAAGAATTTAATAATTTTATTTGATGTTTTCCGCATGAAAACTCTTCTTAGTGAACAGCGATGGACATTATCCTGTTTATGGACATGAATGTCATGTCTATTTATCTTTCATCTGCAGACTTTTATTATTATAAGATTAGAGATCAGAGTATGAGCAGCGGAGGTAAGAATTTTTATATGGAAGTTCCATTTATGCAGGCTAACCTCAAGAGTGCTTGTGATGCAGTACAGATGATATTAAACACACCTCTTAAACTTACAAGTAAGTATGACCTCGTATCGTTTCAAGATTTTCAAGTTGGCGAGTCTACTTGAAGATAGTACTTGGAAAAAATTTATAAAAAATATATCTAAGCTGTATTGTAATGTTCATTCTTGCAAATGATAAAAACAACCACAAATATTATTCGTAGAAGATTGTCATTTTTGGATAATACTGCAAGCTATTGCTAACCTATGAATTTGAAAGTCAACCGCCATTATTAGACAGACTTTGAAACATATCTGGAGAACGCAGACGTGAAATTTTAATTCGCAATCTTTGCTGAACTTGCGATCTTCGTGAGAACTTTCGATCGCTCTGATCCTGGAGGCTAAATAAGGACATACATATAGAGTCTGCCGGTCTAACTGATGGGTGATGGGAAACATGAGACGTGTCTATGTTGCTGCCGGCACCACTGATGAGTGATGGGCAACATGAGACGTGTCTATGTTGCTGCCGGCACCACTGATGGGTGATGGCAACATGAGATGTGTTATGGACCTCCATAAGTAGAAACTATGAGGCAATGTGCTCGTGTATGTTTGATGCGGCCTCGCAGCTGACCGTCTTTATTAAGGAGAGCGAAACAAATTTTGTGAATGCACAATTTCTAACGAATGCCAATTTCTAACGAATTGTGAAATTCGTTAGAAATTGTAACTTTACGCGTTCGTCAAAAGCCGATTTTGATAATTGAAAAGCCATAAGCTGCTTGACAGTTTCAATGCGCATTCTTATTTTTAGTTATTGGTTATAACCAACCGTGGACCGGAGACAGGCCACGACCGACCGAACTCTTGTGACGCGCGACGTCTACACCAGCGTACTACATCAGTGGCAAAACTTCACGCGTCTCTGACATCGTGCATTTTTAGGTATTCATCGTCAAAATTATAAGAAGGCAATGGAATTTCTCCCTATCTCGCTCTCATAGGTAAGTTTGAGTTAACCTTGTGACCTTATGATGAGTTCGAGACTACCTAGTCCACGGTCACGCTGATGCGCCGCCTTCGTCGTCCTCCGTCTCCGAGTCGTCGTCGGATGTAACGTTGGACGTGTTCCGTCTATTTTCCCTCCTTTGGACCAGCATTTGCCCTCCTTTAATGTTGATAATTGGAGAAATTATATTCTCTTATGTTTCAGCAAACTTCTCAACCGCTTGCAAGTTTATCCTCGTATTATGATTAATCGTAAAGTTTATAGTTGCAGCATTCGCTAAGCAGCTTACGAGTTCTGGAAACATTAATACTCAAGATATTCAGAAATTTCAACTGCCTCCGCCGAGAAATATCACAATTATTTTGCTCTGGTACGTCTGATGGTCCAATAAAATGAAATTCGTTCTTTCCATGCTCTTCTATCGACGTAGAACTCAAAGCATTGTTCGCATTGTGCCATTCTCAACCTGCAGTATTTAAGCTCATTTCTAAAACCAGCGTAATACTCAAATTCAGCGAGCCAGAAATCAGGACTTCACTGTTAAATGAAACAATAGAAATACGAATTTAGTCATTATATTTTCATTTATGTGAAGAAAATTAAAATGAATCGTAGGTCAAAGTCCGTATAAGATGGATCCAAGTGCACGTATCATTCAGAATCTATAGAAATTTAACCTAAGTTCACAAGACGTCGCTAATTTTCAGCCCGTTCCCATAGATGTTATTTTGCTCCAACGCGCATCTAAATTCACTTATCCTTTACTAAAATAAATAAGATGACAGCTAAATTACCTGGACATGATAAACTATATAATAATCTTGATAAAATCGACTTATTAAGATTATTTTATTAATTATCAAAAATTAAATAATTATTAAAATTTATTTCTAAATTCGCTGGCCATGATTAAACTATATATATAATCCTAATAAAATCGACTTAATAAGATTATTATATTAATTATTAAAAATGAAATAATTATTAAAATTTATTTCTAAATTCGCTGGCCATGATTAAACTATATAATAATCTTAGTAAAATCGATTGCTGATGTAAAATTTATTTCAATGTAATCACTTACAAGCACCGCATGATATCCAGGCCATGCATTGCCGGAACGCAGGTTTTTGTATATGAGAACTCACGCCCAAGTTTGTAGGTTAATCCAGGAAACAATTTGTATTTTAGTGGGTCAAATCTGTTTTTTTTTCTGGGAATGTAGCGTTAAAATTTGTATTATCGAAGCTTGTCAATAATATTTCTGAATGACTATTGAAAACGGAAGGCGGAAATTTGGTTTTCGGCCGAAATATTGAGAGATGGCAGTTTCCGACAGACAAATTAATTTTTACCTATTGTTTATTGCAAATCGTTAACTTACGGATAACTTGTTCTCAGTGTAAATCATATTACTTGCGTGGCAAAATTGTGATTTGGAAATGACAGGATTGACTTAGAACTTCTGTATTTCTTATCGACTGGAGAGAAGAAATCGCTAAATACACGACCATGAGTAGTAATAATTGTGTGAATCTACGATAAGATGAAAATATTTAGGAGTTAAACAAACAATAATGCTTTGTGCTGATAGGAGGTACATGTAGCCTGCAGGCAGAGGTGGGCAGTAGCGCGCTACATGTAGCGGCCGCTACATTTTCAGTAGCGGTAGCGGCGTACATTGAAGCAAATGTAGCGGTAACGGCCGCTACATTTAGAGCATGTAGCGGTAGCGGCCGCTACATTTAGAGCATGTAGCGGTAGCGGCCGCTACATTTAGAGCATGTAGCGGCCACTACATTTAGAGCATGTAGCGGTAGCGCCCGCTACATTTAGAGCATGTAGCGGTAGCGGCCGCTACATTTAGAGCATGTAGCGGTAGCGGCCGCTACATTTCAAAGTAGCGCTACCCAGCTCTGCCTACATGTACTGGGTGCCTCAGCTCCAGCAGCAGATGCAACTTTAACCTCAGCAAGCAAGTCTCGCAGCACATGTGACTCTGCCGCCGTATTGCCGTACGACAAGCTGGGACCCTCCTTGCAGCGCGAGCATGACCTGCCTAACGTACGACTGCATATAAATAGGGAAGATTACAATTTCCCAGGACAATATAAAGTATTTCTTTAATTTGTTTAGAAAATAAATGGGAGAGACAGAGATTCATGTGTCTGATATTGATTGTGCGCTATACAAAACTTATTTGTTTTTAAAATAATCAAATTATATTCGATGATTTTTGTGACGTCAGCTCGAGCGAATGCACTGCTGACCAATCGCGAAGCTAACCTTGAGCATCTAGCAGATTTTACTGGGCGTTTTTTTACGACTGTCGTTTTTTGAAGTTGACCAGCTAACCCAAGAGCCAGGTTCTCCTTCTGCTGAAAGTAAGCGGTATAAAAGAAGGGGGCACGAGATAGCGAGAGCGTACTCCACCTTTGCCCATCTGCACATACCGACGTGTCCACTGTGTTAGTGAAACTATACAAGGTGAGAATATGTGATGCTGCTTGCCTTCCTTAGCTGCTGCTGTGAACTGCTCTCTTAAGGATGCAGTAGATATAGAGAACAAGTTCACTAGCAGCCACTGGCCCATACATTGAAAGCGAAAGTCTGGTGCACAACGGGCATCCATTCTGTCATATTCTCGAGTCGGGTCGTGAAGGCAAAATGACGCTATAAATCAGCTGTGTTTATGATGTAATGTTTCGAGAGTGAAATGCAGTGATAAACTTGGTGGCAAGTAACCAAAGTGAACGCGGTGACATTCTTGTGCATTTGTGAACTTATAATAACAAGTGGTTAGACAGTGTGAAACGGTGTTATTCTTCAGCCCCATGCCTTCACGGACCTGACGCAAGAGTATGGCAGTATTTGGTCCCGACTTGTGCGTTGAGCTTTTCTTTCAATATTTCAACGTATTTTGTTGTTTTCATTTCTGTAAAATCTCTATAAGCGAATTAGGAAGAAAATCACATGCAGGTCGGAAAGAAGATTTATGATCAAGATATTTAAACAACAATTCAATTGTGTGAGGATCTCGATAAGTTTGCTTCTAAATTATTTTTGCCTGCAAAATATTAAGCCTGCCATAGCAGCATCGGGATGTTGTACACAATATTAAGTCCGCCTCAGTAATTATGTTAGACCAAGTCGGCTGTTGGATGAGACATATGCGTAATTAAATTAAACCTATGCGGTAGTTGATTTAGACCAGCGCAGCAGGTAAATTAGACCAGCGCAGCAGGTAAATTAGACCAGCGCAGCAGGTAAATTAGACCAGCGCAGCAGGTAAATTAGACCAGTGCAGCAGGTAAATTNATTAAATCGTTGTTTAACTAAAATGCTGACGGAAGTTTGTGTTTCGAAGTTCTTGTGTACATGAAAGCAAATGATATAAATGATAGCAAAATGATAAATGATAGCAAATTCATAAAATTTTGTGATATAATTCACGCATATGTTCACTGGATATGATACGCATTGAGAGCGAAAGCTACTTTACGCCGACCACGGAAATAAGTTTTCACGAAATCACTGGTGTTCACAATCGGATTTGTGCGGGTCAATGTCTGTCAGAGGAAGATAAGTTAAAATGTTTTCTGAATCCGTGCATAATTGGAGTTAAGAAGTCAATAACATATTATAAAACTATTTCTATTGCTTTCAAATAAAATGGCAAAATTCACAGATAACTGAAATGATCCCAGCAAAAAATCCAGGCTATTGTTAGCGCATTTTCTCATTTATGGAAAAAGGCACTATTGTGCTCGTCATGGCCCATACTTTCAAAAAAAAAGTTAAGAGATCGTAAGTTCATCAGCCAATCATTGACGGCCTTTCGAGCAAAATCCACCAATCATAGACAAGAAAGTAGAGCGTACGTAAGTACTTACTACGTTCACTTAGCGAGTTTTGAAAGTATGGCCCCCATGTCCGTCCGTCTGTCCGTCCGTCCGTCTGTATGTCGCGCACGTTTTCGTCGATTTTTAGAAAATGCGCTCTCTGTCACTCACTGCAGTGAATACTTCACTGTACTGCAAGTACTGTCACTCAATGCAGTGAGTACTTCACTGTACTGCAAGTACTGTCACTCAATGCAGTGAGTACTTCACTGTACTTCAAAGACTTTGACGCAATCAAAGACTTTGACGCAATCAAAGACTTTGACGCAATCAAAGACTTTGACGCAATCAAAGACTTTGACGCAATCAAATCATATCTTGTCCTGACTTGGCGGTGCATTGACGGGGCTCGCTCTTCTTCAATCGTACAGCGTAAGCACTGATAAATTGCTGCAAAATATAATTTTTATTAAACTTTTCTAACGTATTATTTGCTATGCGTGCTTGTCCGGTGTATATAATGATTTTTGTGCGTCGTCAGTCTTTTCATTATATGCTACCTGGTCAAAATAATTAGGTTTAAATAGTGTAAAAAGAAATCTGCCTAGCCAACGTCTTTCCTTAATTCAACTTACGCATACCCTATTTTAACAAAAGTTTCAACTAAACATTACTATCACCACCGATTAAATATAATATTAGTTCAATGGCCATGAATGTTTAATTGCGATCACAGGTCCAGACTTTTGCGTAATTTCCTACCTTTCCGTAGTAGGCAAGTTTTATTCGCGATGACACTTTCTTCTTCCGGCATCGGAAGCCTTGAGCGTTGCGAGCAGAAGATGTGTCAAGGGCCGTTACATGACTTCCTGAACCTCGCTTACGTGACCTCTTCTGAAGATAATAAAATACGTATTTATTCAAATTCCGAATTAAATCGTTGTTTAATTAAAATGCTGACGGAATTTGTGTTGCGAAGTTCTGATGTACGTACATGAAGTTCGGCCACGCAAATTATAGTAAATTCAAAAAATTTTGTGATAAAATTCACCCATATGTTCGCTAGATATGATGCGCATTAGGAGCGAAAGCTTCGTAAGTTTACGCTGACAACGGGATTAAGTTTTCACGAAATCGCTGCGGTTCACAATCGGATTTGTGCGGGTCAATGTCTTTCAGAGGAAGATAAGTTAAAATGTTTTCTGAATCCGTGCATAATTGGAGTTAAGAAGTCAATAACATATTATAAAACTATTTCTATTGCTTTCAAATAAAATGGCAAAATTCACAGATAACTGAAATGATCCCAGCAAAAAATCCAGGCTATTGTTAGCGCATTTTCTCATTTATGGAAAAAGGCACTATTGTGCTCGTCATGGCCCATACTTTCAAAAAAAAAGTTAAGAGATCGTAAGTTCATCAGCCAATCATTGACGGCCTTTCGAGCAAAATCCACCAATCATAGACAAGAAAGT